TCATCCGGAATGGAGTGATGCACACCTCGGATGACAATGCGGTAAGACCTTTCCTCTTTAAGTTGCCAGGTATGAAATGGCACCTTTTTTGAGGTAAGCGATTTAGTAATGGCTCTGTACGCATCTGAATCTGAAGCCAAGATCGAAACGGAATTATCTGGGTGGCATTTAATGGAATATTTGGTTGGGTGAACGACCTTATCTGTGGATCTGATAAGTCCGTTTAAGTTTTCACAATTTTTGACCACAATTGGTGGTGGTTTGTGAGACGGTGAGGTTTCGTTGTTGTCTGAGGGCTGGTTTGGACTACCATTGCAGCTAGTCGTATTGCTATTATTGCTGCTACAGGTGTTGCCGCTGTTGCTTAAATTGTTGGTTAGAGTGTTGCTGACTTGGTTGCTGGCGTTGGTGGTGTTGGTGGTGTTGCTGGTGTTGCTGGTGTTGGTGGTGTTGCTGGTGTTGCTGGTGCTGATACTGGCTTGGTTGGATCTATTTTGACCGACTGTTTGTGGTGATTTCATAATTTCATCGTCCGTGTCCATATCTGACAGATCCGAGAACCGATTGTCAGATGCTGCTGGTTTTGGGCTATTTGAATTCCTAATAATTTTCGAGCTTGAGTTGTAAGGGCTTGATCTTAAACGGCGTTTATTATTGGGACGTGGGGTCCACCAATCGTCGTCATCAGCCATAGCATCTTGCTCAGAGTCTTGAGTTGCTACTGGCCGAGCATTATTAGAGGTCGAGGCATAAATGGCGTTAAATTGGTTTATCGAGGAATTTAACGCCTCTCTCATTTTTTCTGGGCCTCAGCCGCAATCTTTTCGATGTCAAGATCCGATTCAGCAGACATAGTGAACTTGCTTTACCGACTACGGGACCTTTTGGGAAGGCTTCACAAAGGCGATTGAGACCGAGTGGCGAATACGCGCGACCCGCAACCGGGCGGCACCCGGAACTATTACAGCTATTAGGCTTGTCTTTCGTTTCACTTTGTTTTCGCAATTGACAGAAATAGCGGAACGTGGGGGCACTGACACCACGTCCTTAGAAGTCGGATTTAGAAAAAACACAGTCGCTTTTGCCACAAAGGTGGACTTGTCCATAGACTCTTTACAATGCAAAAACGCGTCTGCACTCCACGAAAGCATAAGAAAAATTTGTATTTTCCCCTTTTTTCTTTTTAATAGCCGAAAACACGTCCGAAGCCTTTGACAACTAACGCAAAGCTCTCTGGGTATCATGTAGTCAGATGTACTGCTCATGTCTCGACCAATTGAACTGTGCCCGAAACCTTGTAGCGACCAGTTTCCTGATGCAACCAGACGTTGTGCCGCCTTTCCTGTTGTCAGTTGCGCTTGGATATCTAGGGGATATTTACCGATTAGGTTTCGAGTGCATTGGTGGGGGTTGACAACAGCGCCGCTGATATGCAGAGCAGTGCCTGCCGCTGGGTTCTCTCCATAAGCTTATTATGCCACCACACTAAGACTCCATACAGCAGAGTCGGACGCACCACCGATATGTAGACCCAATGCATTGGAGCGGGTGAGAGTCCCCATGTGCTGCTAAGCATCTTCTCTCCCTTCTCCCTCACCACTTCATAGGCCTTCGGGGTCAGGCTGGTTTTCTTAATTTTCGGGGGGATCCATTGCGGCACCTTGTATCTCTTGGTGAAGAGAATATGGTCCGTCTTATCCGCATTGATATTGAGTCCTAGCTTCTCTGCCCACTCACATATCTCCCTGAGCGTTGTTTCCATGATCGAGCTGAGGGTCGCTGGACAGACTCCCGTGATAATTATGCTTATGCCATCCTCATAAGCAGTTATATTTGGTGCTTTCCTCTCGAATCTCTTGATTAGGTCGTCTACCACCAGATTCCATAGGAGAGGCGATAGGACCCCACCTTGCGGCGTGCCTCTGTGCGCTCCTCTCACCATGGAAGCGGTGCGCCAATCTGATTGAGCCCGCCGGCAACTCAGAAAGTTTCTTATCCACAAGTTGATAGCGGGAGGCGTGTTGGTCGCTTCTAGGCGAACCACTATTGCGTCCGTGCTAACGTTGTTGAATGCCCCGGATATGTCCACGAACACTCCAAGTGCATATTCCTTAATGTTTAGAGCTCTCCCAATAATGGCTACCAGCGAATGTAGTGCTGTCTCCACTGATTTCCCCTTCGTGTAGGCGTGCTGGTTGGTCGGCAGTTGTCTCCCTACATCGTTCCTGATGTATAGGTCCAACGGCTTTTCCAGCGTTTTTAAGTAGGAATGATGAGGCTTATCGGTCTGAAATCCTTGGGGTTCAGGTGGCTGCACTTTCCTGATTTGGGCAGGAAGACAATCCGAGAGGTCCTCCATTGGATAGGAATATAGCCCGTGCTTAAACAAGCTGTATTTATTGCGTAGAGCCATGGGGTGATCACTTCCTTGGTCGCCTGCAGCATGGCTGGGAATATTCCATCTAGTCCTTGTGCTTTTATCCTCGCAAAGCAGTCTATAGCCCAGTGGATTCTACTAGAGGATATTAGATCTTTTGGGAGATGCTCTACTCCAGTTGCTAGATCCTGGTGCTTATTTGCATCGGGTACCTCAGTGCATCCTGGGCCTCTTCGCTGCCCTCAGTCCACTGTCCGTTGTCGCGTTTGAGCTGACTCTGTATGGTTGGCTGCTTCGATAGCAGCTTCCGGAGTAGTCTCTATATTGGAGCAGAAGTTTCTTCATGAGTTTCACTGCGCCTTGTAGTCCCTTAGTAGGACTTTGTAGTCCTCATTGAGTATATCATCTTTCGCCTGCTTGGTGATTTTGAAGAATTCTTTGAGTTTGTTGCGTCGGAGAGAAAGGTCCTTATTGCACCAGGGTGGCCTGGTCCTCTCTTCTCGTGTCCGATATAGGGCATGATGCGTGGTACGCATCCAGAAGTTCTTTGGAGAGGGTCTCTAGGGACTTTTCTATGTCTTCCGCGGATTCTACTATGCCCGGAGAGATCGCGAGCCGTGTCGTGGTAGTCTTCTTGAACTTTCCCCAGTTAGTATTCCGGGGGTTCCTGAAGACTGATTGTTTTGGAGAGTGTTCGAATGCGTATTGGAACCGTATGTACTTATGATCTGAGAAGGATAGTCTCTCAAGGACTCTCCATTCTGATACCAAAGTACCTTGTCCCCTAACAGGAGTAAGATCTAGCACGTTTGAGGAGGTGGGACCTGGTGGATGGAGCAAATTGTAATTTGCGGACTTCAGTCCGGCGATGGCATTGCCTGAGGCGATCTATGGCCCCTGGACTAAAGCTATGTCGGCGGATCCTTGTTCCATGGCTATGAGGAGTTCCGCCGACGCGACCTTGCTCTTATGGAGGTTGAACTGCAGCACCCTGAGTGTCATGGGTACTGGGCTCACCTCCATACGACGGGTTGACTACTACGGTCAGGTCACCGTCCTCTCCTTCGTCGGACTCATCCAGCGTGATTTCCCGGTCGGCATCCACGATGGTTTCCATACCTAGGTCCTTCTCCACCACATCTGCCTTGTTGTGAGCATCGTTATCCCCGGAGTGGCACTTTTTGACGCGCAGGTATACGCTACCCATGCCCCACGCCATCTTCCCGTATCTGGGATAAAGGGTGTCCTCTGCCTCCTTGTTTATTTGGAGGACTGCACTTTGCCCCCCCTCCTTGGGTGATGGGGCCGCAACGTGCAGAACCTTCCAGTCCGCGGTTGGGATATCCGGGTTCTGACGCTGCAGCAGCTTCAGCGCCCGTTCGCTTTGATGGGGAAGAACTTCGCTTTGAGTGATGGGATTAGCTCCCGGTCCACCACCTCTATCTTGGCTCCCTCCTACAGCGCCTCCAACTGAGACCGCTTGCCTCAGCCACTTCCCCCCAATTACCCACCCAGAGCCATCGAAGGTGGGCATGGGAGCTTCGAGATCATCCTCCATCCGTGCGTACAATGACTCAACAAGCCGCGCATGCACCATCTTCCACTACGCCTCGGTCATTTTGCCGGCTTCATCGCTTCTATCAATGAGGGCCACGATCAAGTGTCGTTTGGTCACCTCAGTGACTTTTGCGGGTTTTGCATTGAGGCTTTCCCCAGTGCTCAAGAGGCGCCTTTGTTGGCAAACGTCTCCTCCACCTTTTTGGCGCATCCGCCAGTCGAACTCATGTGGGGGAGTTTGGCGAAGTGAAGCCTCCCCTCAGCGATTTTCTCCTCAGCCCAGATAAGCTTTGCCTTCTCCTCCGGGGATAGGGCGGCTTTTTCCTGGAGCCGATCCTGGATTCGGAGGGCAACCTTGTATAGCGCCTTGGCCTTCATTCCCTCGCTTGACCGCCTTGGCCCGTCTCTGCGCTGGGAGCTGTTGCCTGGTTTCGGTGAGTGGAGAAGCTGCACGTTCTCAAGGACACAGTCTGTATCAACTATGGCACGTGAGCGGCTCAACTTCCGCTGCGTAGTTTTTTCGGCAGTAGCATTGCAACTGACATGACCTGCTCCCGTCACATCAGAGGTGTAACTGCTGGCGACACGCAGAGAGGATTGCTCCCCCCCCGTGCCCGCCGGTGATAGCGGTCACGCCTTCCACCGACGTTTGGACCGGGCTAATATGTGCCCATTGCCCAGTCGGCACCCTCGGAGAAGGTTCAGATGGAGGATTTTTGCCAGGCCATCAGACCCAAATATTTTCGTAACTTTTTTCAGACCAATCCGGGTCATAAATATCCACAGCGGCAATTCAGCTCGTCTGTGCTGATAAGCAATATAAACTTAGTGACTTAATAAATATTGTACTTAAATTTAAAGTAAACCAAGTGCGTATTTTTTGGGTCATAAAGAATTGGACGGTTTCGACAGCTATTGAAAAAGCTCAGTAGCTCAACAACAGTTTTGATTTTACAGACAATTCTGGGTTAGGTCAGGCTGTCCAGGGCAGGTTCGACCCGATGCCCACAGTCCGCACAATTATGATACCGCGATATATTTTGGACGTCTCGAAACTACCATCTCTACAAAAAACTCACATCACTAACATCAAAACATAAACAACAAGATTGGACGACAATTTTTGACGGAATTGGTGGCTTGGATGTGAAGGCCACGACGCACTCACCCATCCAGTGGTGCCTCCTGGTCAGCTTGGGGCATCACCCATTCTCCGGCGGACCGAATCCTATGCCAGGCGGTCTGGTGACCGACTCATCTCGCCCAGGTAAACTCCTTACCAAGGTTCATGACGCTTTAATATTACATTATAATATTTCATTTTTGCTTTGCTTAAACTAACAATTCAGAGTTTCCTATTTGGGTCCTAAGTCCCTGACGTGACCGTGACCCTAGCCAGGGATGCGCTCGCGCCCAGGCTGCCGCTAAGGAATCCAAAGAAGTGGGCGGTGCAGAAATGGCCAACAACCAAAAGTAAAAAAAAAATGCACCGTATGTACCCCTTTCCTACCTCGGGTCCCTAATGGAGCTCCAACAGAAACCACAAGGGTGGGTCAAAATGAAATCTGAAGTTCTTTCTTCTTTAAACCCTTTTTGGGACAATTTACAGCACTTGTGTTGCACCAATCCCGGACTCGTTTTCGGAGACGCGGAGGACAAGACACCATGGACTCGGTGTTATCGTAGTCGTGTTACCAAGCAAAACTACACATATAATGGTCTCTTTCAAGGTTCTAATGAAGTATCTAATTAATGAAAACTGCATTAGAGTGTCATACGGCTATTACGGTTTTATATTCCCACTCTTGTATGCACGAGGTATAAAAATATAAATTGATGTATAAATGGGAGTCGCTGAAGATAATACAAATGCTTTATAGCTTTATTTGTTTTGCTTTGCCAAAATTTTGATTTCGGAAAGTTCTAATTGATCTTGCCGAGCACGTATCCTCAGATATTTACATACATACTATGTATGTATGTACTTATATAGATACATATGCATATATGTACATTCCCAGCAGACAAAAACTCCGTAAAAAATATTAAAAACTGAAGTTTTGCGGATCGCAGGCGGACAAAACGTCCGATTTTAGGCTCAAGATCGGTAGCAAAGTAAATTACTTGTCCTGGGGTTTGTGGCAGCAAAACCTCTCATTTTCGGAGCACGAACTAATAGCGTTTGCGGACGCTGTGGCGAGACCGGAAACGGTACCGATAGCAACCCCTTTACGATACCCGAAAAAGGATCGTTTGCTGACCTGTGGCAATACCGCAGGAAGTACTGTTTGCGGACCTTTTGACGATGCGTTTCAGATACATTTTTAATATCTTTTTCCAACTAAATTTTTTTAGAATTTCGGGTTTTTTAAATGTAAATAAAACATACATTTATTTATGTTTATCATTATTTATTATTTATCATTATTTAACTTAAAAAATAAACATTTTACTTAAGATTTGTTTATTTCCTTTAAACTAATAATACCTAATACTAATACAAACCGTCCTGTGCATTCTGCTTTTGTGTCGCTCTATCGAAATCTGCGTGCTCCAACGCAAATTTGTTTATAAAAGCGGCTGTAAAAATATAAATTATTATAAGTATATAAGTATGTCTAAATTAGACAGCGGAATCGCTGTTTATTTCGCTACCGAGGTAGTGTGACCAAAAAAAATTAAGGAAAATCCTGAAATGCCATGAAAATGTACTGTTTATGGTCACACTGGACAGCTGTTTGTAAACAAATATTCAAAAAAAAATATTAAAAATATTAATAAATATTGCATTAAAATGTATTTTGTGGGTTAAATTCCATATTATGGGCTTCCCCTTGACAGCCCCTATCAATGCCACCTTTTTCCTTCAACTTTCCCTCCATTAGGGATGTCTAAATAAATCAAATGAATTATTTAGACAGCGCGATATCAGCTGTTTACTATCTTGATCTGGCAACGCCATTCAATTTTCGCAGGCTTCATTTTCGTCGTCAGAGTACCGAAAAGACGACGTGTCTAAAAGTTCTTCTTCTTTTTTTTCGACACCGTTTTTTTTATATGGAGTTTGGCCGCTGTATAAATTTAGACAGCGGTTATTTCTCGTCAGAGTACTAGGCTTTAGGTACCAACGTTGCTCAAAACGGTTCAAACCCAAAATAATAAATAAAAATTAATCATAAGCAAGTTTAATTTTTACATATATTTACGTTATTTTGTTTAATTAGCTTCTTTATTTACGAAATAAATTATAAATAAAAAAACTTTCCGTGTTCCATTTCCCATCGTTCCATTTTAAAATTAATACATTCTTCCCACCAGTGTTGCCAACTCTTCATGGTTTGAAAAAGCTAAACCCAATTTCGAAAAAAGCTAGAAATAGCCAGCAAATTTTGATGATAGCGAAAAAATAACGGGGACAGAAAACATGTTTTTTTTGTATTAATTGTTGAAAAATTTTTGAAAAATGGTCAAGTTCCTCTATCATCACCTCTACTGCAACTGAATTTATGTATATGTATTTGGTTTGTGTTTTTTTTTTTTCAAAAGTTTGTAATTTTGTTTTTCAAAAATTTTTCAACATTTTTTTTTCAAAATGCTGTCAAAATTTTTTTTTTCAAAATTTTGTCCACAATTTTTTTAATAAAATTTTGTCAACATTTTCTTTAATTTTTTTTTTAATTTTGCCATTTTTTTCTATAATTCTGCCAAAATTTTTTTTTTCCAAGCTTTGACAAAAAATTGTTTGTTCAAAAATTTTTTTTTATTTTACCAACTTTTTTTTTTAAACTTTGCAAGTTTTTTTTTTTAATTTTGTCAATTTTTTTTCGAAATTTCGTAGTAAGAATCGATTAAGAAAATGTAATGCTCTTTTGGCATATCGATGTTTTCCTTGCAATTCAAATGGAAAAATACTACGAAGTATTTAAGTGAGGCATTATAAAACATCATAATACATGAAAGATAATAATACAAAAATCTAAAATTACGGCAATTCTGCTTGGAAAATAGCTATAATTCCTGCTAGACACTAGTTCACAATATCCCGCATTTAGGTTTTGAAACACGCCAGATATAGTGGTAAAATAGCTAAATTGGCAACGCTGCTTCCCACACAGCGCATTTGTGAGGCACGGTTGGGATTTTTCGCAGATGCGAAACTCGTGTTCCCACAGGTAGTGGTAGGCTGTTTACAATACATAGTAGCAATTGGGGACACTTTAGGGCAATAATACACAAAAAAAAAAAAACGCCAACTATTTTGGGTATGCTTTAAAACAGGGGTGCCCAAACGTTGCTTATGGCAGAGCAACGCACCAATACACATAAATGAAAACACAAATACATTTACGCAAAAGTTTTTTTTTACTTCAAATTTCTGCACTAAAAAAATGAAAGTAAATTCAAATTAAGATATCGAAAGTAATAAAAATACATGAAAATACATTTTAACAATGCATTGGGGCTCACCATAGCAATTTTTACAAAATAAAAAATTAGATTCTGCAATATCAAATATCTTGCCCGCAACGCAAAATACAACTGATTTTTCGCGATGTACTTTTTTCGGCGATCCAACAACAATTTACATTCGGACAAGCAAGATAACGGTGAAGCCTATGAAAGTGTTGTTGCCGAGATCAACGAAGACGTGGAGAATGAAGAGAATACGCAAAATTGTTTGTGTAATCTGCTTTGCCTATGGAGTGAGCCGTGCATGCATACGGCGATTGCTCTGCCTATGCTAAAGAGCAATTACAAAAGCAATGCGAGCACAAAGAGCTATGGGCTGGGCATGACTGCTTTAAAATGTGGCGCCAAAGCTACAAGCATGCCCAAAATAGTTGTTGTCGTTTTTTCTGTATATTCTTGCCCCAATTGTTACTATTTAATATGAACCGCCTGCCTCTACCTTTTTTTTAAAGATTTTGGATGCCTATACCACCTACAGACACTCTTCAGGGATTTTGCACTTTGTTAGAGAAAAATAATTAGAAAAACTAAAATTCCTTGACATTTAATTCATTTAAATTTAGCGCGGATAAATTCTGGCGCAATCTGTGCATTTTGCTATTGTACAACAATAAAAATTGTTGGTAAATGCTCCATTTCAAATTTGCATCTGCCAAGTCGACAGTCTTTGTTTACGTTTTCATGAGCCACAGCTGATCGATCAGCTGTTCGGTTGGTGAATGCGCTTTGTCGGTGAGTGGGACCACGGGTTTCACTTTTTTTTTAATCCCAAACGTTCCTTACAAATGCACTGTGTGGGAAGACAGTATAAGAAGAAAAAATCAGATTTAGATGCGCTTTGTTGCCGGTCCATTTGAGAAAATTCGGAACGGCAAAACCTTGTGGACCGTTTGGTCAACGGACGGTGGATGCGCTTTGACGGTATGTGGGAAGACCCTATTAAACTGGGTATTTCCTTGACGACTGGAATTAATAAAATAATCGGCGATGTATCGCGACAGTTTGCCGAAAATTATCAGGCCTGCTCCGGTAATCGAAAACGGCAAGATTCTTTCGTTTTCGTTTTTGAAAACGAGAAATTGGTGCTCCGGTAATCGAAAACGAAAGATTTTTTCGATTTAAAACGGGCACCTTTTTCTGGCCGGAATGAAAAGTAAATGGCTTTTTTTATATGAAATCAGATCTTATTTACAAAAGGAAAATAATAGTTTACTCCACCATCATAAGATCATTCTGGCAGGTAGGTATTTTATAAAAAATGTATTTCTGTCCCCACCTCAGATTTGACAACAACATTTTTGCCGTGTTCAACCAGTTTTCTCGGTTTGGCGATAGGTCGATAAGTTCACCGCAAAAAGTTATCGCCAAGGTTGCCATACTGTTGGTGGAACGAAACAGCCAGTTAAAAATACTTATAAAATATAAATGAATGCATTAATAACTTTAAAGGAGAGCCAAAATGGTTGTTTATAAATAATGCTATTTAATTTGATTACTTAAATAGTCCAAATTAACCAAATAATTATTTGAGACCACCGGAATTAAAACTGTGAAAAGTGTGGCAGCATCTTAGGTGCCTAGATTTGCTTAACACTACAATTTTTTGACTTTTTCTGGCTTAGAAAAAGAGCAATTGTACATATAAAAGGCAGTACTTTACGTTGTTTGCTTATTACCAACAACACAAGTTAGCTGCTTGAGCAGTGAGAAACGATGAGAAAACGAAACATTTCGATAGCAGAAATTTGCCAAAAACCGGAGCAGCTAAAAACGAAAACGGTTCGTTTTAGCCCAAAACGAAATCGAAAAAATTTTACGATTGCCGTAGCAGGCCTGAATATTTGGCCGATATTTGCTGCATTTCAGTCATTAATACTGTCTTCCCACACAGCGCATTTGTGAGGAACGTTTGGGATTTTTCACAAATGTGAAACTCGTGTTCCCACACAACATTAAAGCGCATTTAGCATCCGAACAGCTGATCGATCAGCTGTGGCTCATGAAAACGTAAACAAAGGCTGTCGAATTGGCAGTTGCAAATTTGAAATGGAGCATTTACCAACTATTTTGGCTGTTGTAGAACAGCAAAAGGCACAGATTGCGTCAGAATTTATCCGCAATAAATTTAAATGAATTAAATGACAAGGAATTTTAGTTTTTTCTAATGATTTTTCTCTAACAAAGAGCAAATTCCCCGAAGAGTGTCTATAGGTGGTATACGCATCCAAAATCTTTAATATAAGGTAGAGGTAGGCGGTTTATATTAAATAGTATTGGGGACATATTGGGGCAAGAATATACAGAAAAAACGCCAACAACTATTTGGGCATGCTTGTAGCTTTGGCGCCACGTTTTAAATTCCATATCTCATTTGTTCCTCGCCAAATTGTTTACATTTTC